TAAAACTCATTGCCCCTTCTTAAAGATATATTTAATAAGAATCAAACACAAATTCTCTTTTTATTCTACTCAACCTACATTATCAACTCAACTACATCCGCACTATTCTCATATATACTTTATGTGGTTGGATGAATCAGCTCAAATGATTAAACCAATCTTCGGAATTTATTATCCAATTTTAATAACATTCATCAACGTATTTTCCAATTTCAATTACATTACAGGGTCACGGGCACACTTGATTGTATATTTTCACTATAACTATCGGTTAGGTAAAAATTATAATTAGACATGAAAAAGAATAAAAAAAAATGAATTTTTCAGTTTTATAGAAAATCAATTAATCTTTTCACTTCTTTACATTATTCATTAAATATTTATTTTCCGATTTTTATGAAGGTATCCTGATAAATAATATTGTAAAATAACCCCTTAGCATTGTTGGGATTAAAAGGTGTTAGGATTAAAAATAAGTTTTAGTAATCACAGATACGAAAAATGTCAGCACGTGCAGATGTATGATACGTCATACGGTCATAGCACTAATGCGGAAAAGAAATGTCAAAAGCATATAAATAAGATAAGTTGTAATACCGAAATTATCATAATAAGATACACTTGATACTATCTTAAATTCTTAATTATTCAAAATATTGATATGGTCACTGATGATACTAGTACTGGATCTGCCAGTGAAGTTCTTATTGACAAATCTATTATAAAAAAGCAAGATTATGAAATGATGCATAATAACACAACATTAATATTATTGTATAAGGTTCTTGAAGTAGTATAACCATTTATAGGGAAAGGTTATGAAGGTTGCATAATTGACAAAATTAAATTGTTGTCAACAAAGTCATAATTTAGGCCAGATTTTGACTTAAGTAGATCCGATCTGTTTCAAAATATTTTTGACTTAACCTGGTCTATTAACTTTGTGTATGATCAAATTATAAATTTGGTATGTCTAATATTTAAAAAAGAAGACAACTTAGCCCAGGCCTTTTAGCCTATTAAACATTCAATAATTAAAAAATAATTAAAATAATATTACTTTATTATCCACAATTATTAACATAATAATTTTATTCAAAATAAATAATATGATATAGGTCAGCATGTAAACTTATAGACCGAACCTTGTAAAAGAAAACTTACGACTTACTTTCTAAAAATATTTTTTTAAAAGCTTAAACCTATTTTATTTTACTAGATATAATAAACCAAATCTGACCTGATATACACTGAATTGTGGGTCCCTAATAAATCATGTGACCCATTTATCACACCCTTGACTCAACTACTCAAGTAACTATTTAGATATGTGATTTTCTATAAGAAATAATTGAATAATAACAACCCTTATATATGTGATCTGGATAAAATAGATTCATTAGAGGTCCAAATACATAGAACAAGACCCAAACCCACAAGGCCCAGAGTGTGGCGCAATGACTTACATCGCGCATAACAGGGTGCGATGCCACCATCGCGCATGTAACCACCCTTTAACATAACTTCAGAAATAAGGAAACAAACTCAGGAACTAATAAAGGTCCACCGCGCCTTTGAACAAGTAAACAGAAGACAACACCAGCTTGCCACCACTCTATCAAGGTAGCCTGACATCAAGAGATAAAGCTATTAAAGCATTATCAGAACCTACAGCCCTTGAACAGCCAATCAGAGGCTATACCGTCTTCCTAAAGCGGCATCAGAACCACTATATAAACAGATGGTACATTGCCAGATATTATCATCTAATTCAGCAAGAATACACATACACTTGTCATTGATACTGACTTGAGCGTCGGAGTGTCATTGCAGGTACTCCTAATCTGACTCAACGCGCCGAAGGAGAACTAAAGTCCGCTCATCATCATCCTCATCCACTAGCCCAAAAGATAGATTATTCAAAAGATTTTTCGCTTTAACCATGTGTGATTTGGCCCAGTACACTTTGACCGGCCTATATTGTATTTGATCTTCTCAATATGCATTCATAATCTTAATTAACAATGGCCTTATTAATTTGGGATGAGTTAATGACCAGCATAACAGAGGAAAACAAACCTATAAATGTCAAGGGCAAATAATATTATCATAGAGATACAGTTTTGAGCAACAATTAACATAACAGTTTACAAATGAAAGGTCTTGATAACATTGAAAAGTGTTTCAAACACTCTCTGTTCCTGGACACAACGTTCAATGACATTTAATAATGTGGATTGTTTTTATTATATTGTATAAGATAAAATACTCTTCTTATATATACAAATTTTTGTTGGAATCGACTTAGTTTTTCTTTTCTTTTTCCTATTCTCTCTTATCTCTTCTCCTTTTATAAGTGTAGGAAGATTGTTTTTAATTTTATCCTATGCAATATAACAAAAACAATTCCCTTTAATAATATGTAATATTGAGGTTTTAAATATATAACTGCATATTTATTAGATGATAAAAGGGTGTCATATATAACTCATAGGTAGGAGAGAATTTCTCTTTCCACACTAGAGTAATCAAAAAATACAATATCTCATTGCCTCGTCAATTCATGTGTAATTTCAAGCTATAAAATTTCTACCTTACTACATAAGGTCATGTCAATAATTATCTTCTTTAAATGTTTGACTTTGATAATCATCACGAGAATGTCATTCACTTACCACTACACTTCACTCTTATTGGTCCATCAATCATCGAGTTTGGGTATGAATATCTTTACATTCTATAATTGTATGTTATTTTTTAATAGGCAGGGTGAGAATATTGATATTTCTATTTACCTATTCACATTTTCCTTTAATTTCTTAATGTTGTAATCATTGTAGTAAAACCTGGCTCGATCCGGCCGGATCGACTCGGGATCCGATTATCGGATCGATTCGAGTCAATCATTGGACCGGTCATGCATTGACCTAGTTAAATTTGAACAAAATCGGCCAAACTCGATGATCCGGTAGGGTCATGCATTTAAAAAAAAATTAAAAAACTAAAATTGTTTCATCTTGTCAGAAAAAAAATGTAGAACTCATTTTAATTTTTTTTTTTGTAATTTTGTTTGCTAGTATACTCTTCTACAATGACCTCAAATTTCAGCTTTCAATACCGAAACAATTTGCTGAATAACAAATTAAGAGAATATGACATATGTCATTTTAATGTAGTTGAATTTGAAAAATATGAGTTCAATGTTTATTGAGAAGTACATTTATGGAGATTCTGAGTTACAATTTAAATTGACATAGTAATAACATGCATTTTTTTTTTTTGAAAATATTTCAATCGGTTCATTGCTTCGCAATTAATCTGATTCAGGACGGGTTTAAGATTAAAGCTTTAAAGTTTAAACCCCTCCCAAATGTGGTACTTGACCCGATTCCAATAGCGTGCATTTTTATTTATTTATGTTTCATATTTTTGAGCTTATTTAGTTAACCTTATTGAATTCATTTTAGATATGAAGAATATAATTGAATTTATATGTTAATATATATATAATTTTCTTTTATATATTTATATATATCCGGATCAATCGGTCCGACCAATGACCCATTGATCCGACCAGTGATCCAGTAACTCAGTACCCCAACCGAATCGATGCCCGGGTCGGGTTTAATAACACTGGTTGTGATTATATAAAATAACCTTCACCAATTTTTTTATTAGTAATTTAAACTTTTTACAATTATACTTAATTGACTATTATCACATTTATGTGTTAAATGTTTATTTAATTAAATTAATGTTTAATGTATTAATTAAAAGTTTTTCCCCTGAGCTTAGAATGATCAGGTAAGATCTTTTTCTTAATAAAATTTTAAATACAAAAAAGTTATCACACAAAATGTTTTATTTCAAACTTCTTAGTTCTTACTCTTTATATTTTTGGACATTATAAATTTAATATGCAGTTTATTTTTTTTAATATTACTAATTACAATATATCATCTTAAAAATAAGAAAAATAAAAATAGAATTTAATATATAAATTTTTGAAAAACACAGGAGATTATTAAAATATATACATATTTAAAAAATTTGTTAAATCATAAAAAGTATAAACGAACAAATGACAATGTTAACAGGCAATAGCCAATTTTACCAAAAAAGAAAGAAAGGCAATAGCCAATAAATAGTAATTTTCCAATTAATTCAATAAACTTACCCAAGTATTTTTATGAATAAAATGAGATTAATCTTTCTCATATTATAAGTGATAATTTTATTTCTCATATACATATAAAAATATGTGAATCTCATATGTCATATGTGATTATATGAAAAGAAAAGAAAGAAAGAAAAAATAGATCTATATATTTTTGGGGAAGGGTATTGTAACAACCAATTAGAGTTACTACCAATCAATTCACCGTTAGATATATTATGTTGAACCAACAGTTTATTTATTTCCAATTTTGAATGGTTATTATCTTCCTTATTTAATACTTTATATTTATTTCTACCTTTGTATGATTTTGATTCCCCATATTTAATGTGAAAACAAATGTGGAAACATTAAATATGAGGAATCATAACCATACAAAGATAGAAATAAATATAACCGTTGAATTAATATAATTGATCTAATGGTAAAATTAATGGGTTTGTCTACTCTCATGTTATAGGATTATGCTAGGACACAAGATGATGAGACCCACCACTAAAAAAGAAAAAAGAAAAGAAAATAACAGCATACTTATCGAAGTGTTTATGGCATAAGATAGTAATCTCTTGCAACATGAGACTACTATTTCTCAAAATTAATTGATAATAATATTAATAATAACATTAATGGATTGTTACAATATCTTTTTCCTGCCGTGTACCTTATATATATGTATAGAAAAATAAAGTTAAGGAGAAATGCAATAAAATATTACCCATGAAAATCAAATCACATTCCTTGAGCCCCACCAAAGCCAATGGCAAAATAGAATTATGGTATTGTCCCCCGTGGTGGCACCAAAATTTCTATGCATTCGTTCCTCTCTCTGTCTCTGTTCTTAACACACTGTGGTTGAAGAAGAAGCTTTTCTTCCTTTCTCTCTGTTTATTATCTCACGCATATATTCCCTCATATTCATTCAATTTCTCTCAATCAATCAATCAATTAACGCACTCTTCTTCTCTTCCCTTTTACACTTTCGTTTAAGCACACTGTGTTATTTGATCCCTTTTTTCTTCACCCCAACTCTTTCAATTATTTTTCTGGGTTTCTTTTATCTTTAGAATCTCATAATCACCTCACCGCGATCGTCTTCTAATGCGGAATTGTTGTTTGGTTTCTGAGAAACTCCGAGAAAATCAGAGTGTTCCCGTGTGTACTCTTTTTTATCCTCTATTTAGAGGCTCAGAACGCTCGACCCAGTTCTAATTTTTCTGGGTTTTGTTCGTTATTCAGTGGAAAAACGAAAAAAGAGAAGATTTTTGAATTTGGGTCGTGTCTTTTTTTTTTTTCTGTTTTTTTCTCTCTTAATAATAGGATATTTTCCTTCGTTTTCTCGGTAACCAAACGGGGGAGAAGTTACTTCGTTGACAGGCTTGGAAAATGCTGGGGACTGCCCTGCAATTTCGTGGTGTTCGTGGTGAGGATCGGTTTTACATTCCGGTGAAGGCAAGGAAGAATCAGAATCAGCGTAAACAAGCTCAGAGAGACAAGAGTGGTGAAGCTGAGAGTGCTGATTCAGCTTCAAAGAACCAACTTGTTGCTTCTGAGAATAGGAATCCCAATGAATCTTCATACTCGTTGAACAAGCCATCTTCATGTCCTTCTGTAGATCCTGCTAGTAACATTGATAGGTTCCTGGAGTCCACAACGCCTTTAGTGCCGGCTCAGTATTTCTCTAAGGTTGATCTCATCTGTCCTTTATGCTATTGGTTATCTTTTTGAGTGTTGATTTTCGCTTTGTTGGACTTGGAGGGTACAACAACCTCCATTTACTGTGTTTGGTATGTCTTTTAGTATGTAACTGTTGATGGAATATTAACTCTTACATGAACAGCTAACTGGCTTAGGACATAGTTATTGATGTTTAGTATTATCATTATCACCATACATATGATTTAAGATTTGTTCTTATTCTGTTTTGGTTGTAGACAACAGTGAGAGGTTGGAAGACTTGTGATGTGGAATATCAATCTTACTTTGCCTTGAATGATCTCTGGGAATCGTTTAAGGAGTGGAGTGCATATGGAGCAGGAGTCCCCTTGCTACTTGATCAAAGAGAATCTGTTGTCCAATATTATGTTCCTTATTTGTCGGCTATTCAACTATATGGTCAATCAGCTAAGAATTCAAATGCGAAGCCAAGGTATTGGCAATTTTATATGTAGAGTCATGCTTTTATATATGTGCATATGAATTCGTAACTTTGAGTTGAGACTGCAATGACCACTGGAAAGATGGTACATTTATTGTTGATAGATGAAGCTCTTTTTCTCTATCTCTGTGATTTGTTTGTTTTGTGCTATGGTTAATTGATTTTATGAAGTATTGGATTATGTTAGCAGTGCCGGTTGAAAGGTGAAATCATGGAAGCCTTTTTGTGGTTATCACTATCTCTTTTTATACATTTAGTTCCTTGGATTTTGTTTGCTTCATTTTCAATTCTTTTTTCATCCTTGGAAAAAGACTTTCTTTAAGCTGGAAGAGTGGATTAAATGGCTGTTTGGTTCGTGGTACTTGCAGACAGGCAGCATTTGAGGGAATTGATAGTCATCTTCTTATATTTGACATGTTTCATTTCTGATTAATATATAATTTGTTTCCTTGTAATGCTTCATGGATCTCTATTGTACTGCGTTGAGTATAAGTGAAACAGAAATTTAATAGAACTAGAAGAACCCAAATGAGCAATGTATCTAGATGTTTGTTTTGTCTGCTATCTTATCAATTTTCATTTCTTCCTCTTTATTCCATTCATTTTAATACTTACCTCTTATGCAGTAAAATTTAAAATCTAATTTTGTTTGTTGGATTTAGTCCTTTTATACTACCAATTGGTTTGACTTTTGATGGACTATGATGACTTTTTTTTTTTTTAATTTCATTTTAGTGAATACTTTTTAGACCTTTTTGTATCTTTTCTTTACTCCTTTCTCTTTCTGGCTACTGATTCCTGTGTGTTACCCACATGTTTCTCTATTTGTGAATTCAGTTTTACTATTTTCATTGTATGTTATTTCGTTGTGCCCATTTCTATGCTATTTTTAGTTTTACTGAAGAATTTGTTTGTACTTTAGTTTGTAATCTTATCTCATTTCTTTTGTCATTAGGTACACCAGTGAAGATAGTGACGGTGATTACTACAGAGATTCAAGTAGTGATGGAAGCAGTGATAGTGAATTTGGAAAAAGAACTGAACCTTTTATGGCACAAAGAAGTGGTCAATATCAGACAGGCGGTGTTTCTTTTCAAATGAACAGGTTATCTGTACAGAATAAAGATAATACAATGCAAGAGGGATTTTCTAGCGATGACAGTGAAACTGGGAATCCTCAAGATCTTCTTTTTGAGTATTTTGATCAAGATCCTCCTTATAGTCGTGAACCATTGGTTGACAAGGCCAGTACTGGTCTAAATTAATATATGTCTTATTTGCAGTTATTTTAAACAGTCCATCTTATATTTTGTTATATTTGGACAGATACTAGATCTTGCACGTCACTATCCTAGCCTGAAGTCGTTGAGAAGTTGTGATTTATTGCCAGCCAGTTGGATGTCTGTGGCATGGTGAGAATAATGTGATCTATTTCTTCAGTGCTGAGTATGTGTCAACTAACATTCTTTTATGGTATCTTATAGGTATCCTATATATCGAATACCCACAGGTCCAACATTAAAAGATTTAGATGCCTGCTTTCTTACATACCATACGCTCCATACACCCTTGACAGGTAATCATGAAACTTTAACCCTGTGTTTGACCTGCAGTGGCATAGTAGTTCTTGCTTATCAAGATTCAGCACTTATTGGTAGATGTACTCATGCATTTTAAACTTAATTCATGTTTCACCTTTATTATATCTAAGGAACAGAAAATTCACCAAAAAAGTATTCATTTTTTTGGTCATCAAATATGAAAGATGGGCTTCTACTCAACTGGCATGCATTCACTGAACTTAGCTGTTATTTTTTATTTTTTCCTTTCATTTGTCCTTAATAATGATAAGTTCTTCCTCAACACACTCTCATAAATAAATCATATTCTTCTCTATGTGCCTGTGTGTGTATTGAAATGAGCTCTATAATTGATTATGATAATACAGTACGAGATGAGGAAACTGAGGAAGAGAGATTGTGTTAATCATAATTCTTCTGTCTGGGTAAAGCATGATGGGAGAGGTTTTTTTTTTTTTTTTGCCTTGTCAATTATGCCTTGATCAATTTAAGAATATCTAAAATATGTACTTGAGTCTTGACATTTGTAGTTTGTACTGGTCGTTGGTCGATTCCACTACACTCTGTTTCTTTTATTCCTTATATAGATAGTAGATACTTGAATCTAGTTCACAGCTTGTACTTTAACTTCCCTATTTCTCATTTCCCCCCTTGCATATTATGATTTTCTGGAGTACTTCATTATTTTTTCCTTTCTTGGATATCATCTCTTTTCTGGAAAAGTCTAGATACACATCACTTTACAATCACATTGCTCACACCTGCTCAGGTGCTAGCTTCTGAATGCAGTGTGTGGGACGAGCTGTACTCATGTTTCAACTTGTGCAGTTATGAACATATTTATTGCAAGTGATCTGCATTTACTCGTATTTCATCTTTTAAAGGATCAATTTGTTAGAAGCATAGCACTCTGGGAAGGGCATATTGTTATTCAAATTGTAAAATAAGAAAAAGAAAATTGATTCTAGTAATAGATTACTTTACTGGCTGATTGTTGTTATATCAGCTGTTATTAAAAGTAATGCTTCCTTGCAAAAATGTGAAGGTAATCTCAGTTTGCGTGTGATGTTCACCACTTATTTAAAAAACTTTCTTTTAATTACATTTTACAGGAAATGGAGGTACTCAGGCTCCAGTTTTGGTTTATCCCAATGACATGGATGGTGTACCAAAGATTTCCTTGCCAACTTTTGCAATGGCTTCATATAAGTTAAAGGGGTCTATTTGGATGCACGATGGAGTTAATGAGAGTCAACTATCAAATTCTCTCTTGCAGGCTGCAGATAACTGGTTAAGGCTGCTTCAGGTGAATCATCCAGATTATCAGTTCTTTGTATCCCATGGCACATACCACAGGTGAACCGAATGAGTTGACATGTCATTACATTCTCATGGGTAAATCCTAAAGCTATTAGCCTTGAATTTCTGTGTTCATTGCTTGGTGCAAACTTGGTATAGTCCATCCATCTATTGAGACACTAGTGGAGATGGGACTGCTAATGTGTGTTCCTGTTACACAAAAAATGAGTTGATCTCAAGCGAAGAATGAAAAAAGAAAAAGATAAAAAAAGTTGTTTTGTATGGAAAAAAAACTGTGACATAAGTGGAATGCCCTAATGGAAAGGGACAAAGAGCTGAATAAACCGCAAAACAGGTTCACAGGGAATATTTGTGGCATTATCCAATCGTTTTCAGCTCAGTAATGTTTTGAGTTTTTAGACTTGAGTATTTTTCTTATATTGTGATTTTGAAAAGAATGGATTAGATATGTAGATTTTTCTGTATAACATGGTACAATTTTGGCTCTCCATCAGCATATCTGATGAACATGTCGTTACTCTGGTGAGAGAAAAGGGAAAAGTAGATGGTGCTGTAAAAGATTCTACTGTTTCAAAATAAGTATTGTACTCTTATGTCAGTAATTAGGTCAATTAAGGTGTAATGTTTGCAAGAGTATGAATGGAGCTGATGTTACTGTACAATATTCTACTGTTTCATTACCTGCTATTTACTAAATTCTATTTATATGAATGTGATATATAAGACTTGATAGTATAAGTTTGTACTATACGTTATGACATTTTTAGTTGTTTGGTGTAACCATCGTATAGTATAAACTTATACAACATAATTCTTTAATACATCAAAATGATGTATAACTTAATCAGGCTTAAGGGCTTGTTTGGTGTGATGTATAAGGCCTAATAGTATAAGCTTATACTATACGTTATGACATTTTTAGTTGTTTGGCGTGACCATCGTATAGTATAAGCTTATACACCAGGATCTCTTTATATATCAAAATGATGTATAACTTAATCAGGCTAGAAGGGTAGGATTAGGCCTGATAAGGGGTTGATGTATTAACCAATGCAATTCTCAAGAATTAATATATTATTTTAATGTTAGTATATTAAAATAAAAAATAATTTTTCAATATATAATTTTTAAAATATTGGAGATTTTTATTTTTATAAAAACTAATATATTTTTTGGACATATTTATCAACATATTTCTATAAAAATTAATATCATCTGATATACTTGGAAGAATTATGTAAATTCATTATTAAAATGTATTTTTGACAAAAATATTTATTTTTAACCTATATAGTATTATACAGTATATTATCAAATTTTGGATGATATTATCTTATACAATATATTATCTTATGCAATATCATGCCAAACGCTGGATAGTATTAAAATTTAATCAAGTCTTATACAATCATGCCTTATACTATCAGGTCTTATAGCCTTATCATATACTATGTACCAAATATGCCCTTAAGTTTGATAAGGAGTTGATGTACTAATATTGTTTACAAGTACAATTCTCAAGAACTAATATATCATTTCAATATTAATATATTAAAATAATTTTTTTAATATATTATTTTTTAAAATATTGGAGGATATTATTTTATACAATATCATACCAAACGCTGGATATTATTAAAATTTAATCAGGTCTTATACAATTAGTGTATTTTGATTTTTTACGACAATAAAGAAAATGTACATTTTAAACAGTTGACAAACTTATGCATCTCACGGATAAATATTAAATATTAGAACTAAGGATGTACATTGGCTGGGCTGAACCTATTGAATGAAGTAACCTCGGCTTGTATTTTAATCAAGTTAATTTTCATTACTGTCCTAAATCATATTAAAGTACAAATTAGGCCAAATCAAGACTTGACCAACTATTTTAAATACACAAATATTTTTTTTATAAATATGATTATATTTACTTTTTCCCTATACCAAAACCTAATCCGATTGACTAATTGCATAATAAGTGAAGAAGATGACAACAAAAACCATATAGAATCATGGGTCTTTATCAAAGTTTAGGATTCGATAATATGTCACAGCCGATGAGCAAATTTTTTGAATAAGATATTTAATATTGGGTAGGGGGCCCAATTTGGACCCAAACACTTTGTATAAGAGTGTCAAAACGGACAGCAATTGATAATTCAGCACGATTAGCCAAATAAAACAAGTGGATTAGATAAATAAATTCGATGTGTAAATTTATTTTAACCTGACTTAGTAACCTTAAAAAATTGTCAAAATCAACAACTAATTTATTAAAATTACTATGATTATCTTTTTTTATAAGTTTACAAAAGTTTCTTATTAATTAAAGACGTACTAACTTTAAGTAATACTTAATTTAAAATCTTTCGGTAGTTAACTTAAGTATACACATATAACCAAATGAGGTGGTAGCTCAGTTGGCGCATGAGAGCTAAGCAGGTGGGGATGAGAGCATATGTTTGAATCTCTCCAGTACCACTTTTGGGAAGGGCTTAAAGCCTTAATCCTGGATTTACCCCGAATCGAATTAGTTGTGAAACAATGAACCGATTGGAATATTTCCAAAAAAAAAAGTATACACATAAGATAATCAAATAAATTATTCAAAATTTATATTTTTAGATAATAAGAATAAAATATTGTAGACTAACATATTGACGTTAATGATTCACAACATGCATTGAGTTGGACTGATAATTTATTAGTCAAAATTAAATTTGATTGGCACCTGAGAGTCTGCGACCCGCTGGTTAATCCAAATGTATTAGAGAAGAATTGTCAAATCTGGATGCCATCCACTTCCTATATATCCCAAACAAATATTATATTTGGTACGTAAATAGTGTTAAAAAATTGCAATCTCAACAATATTTCCGAAAAGTTATACTCTAAAAATAAAGGGCAAATTATTTTAGTATTTGTGGAGGAAAAATATTTTTTGCAATAGATACCAAACAAGGGTGGGCTCCATATTAGTGTCTCTTTCTTTTTTCTTGAAGATCTCTCTTTTGTGTCTATTGTCATAGGATTTGGATTTTTTCATGTGAAAAAATGATCATATTATTTGATCACAGTTACTTATTTAAAAATTATATATTTTTACTTTTTTTATTTCATCACCAATAAATAATTATGATTATAATCAAATATTATGATCATATGTTCACTTTTCATACTCAGAGGATTCAAATTCATTGTCACATATGCAGAAATAATTTTCTGAAAAATAAAATATAGCAACGACCTTTTTGATATTCTTTGTCGGAGAAAAAGCAGTTTAAATTTGACAAAAGTGACAAAATAATAATAATAATGTCAGGACAAAAAGAATCATGAAACGTTAGGATTTGAGACGAGGGGCCCACTCGATCTGTGTCAGTCAATGATTATCTGGCGAATGAAAACGTTAGACGAAAGCATAATTAAATTATTAATTATTAATCAAAGCCATAAATTAATTAATTAATTAAACTGAATAAAAAAAAGAAGGAAAAAGGAAACTAGCCGTTAGAGTTTGCCCAAATTCAAATGAAGTAGTCTCGCGTAGCACACACACTCCAATGCCGTTTCATTCATTTGAAGAATCATCAACCACACAGAGAGCGATTACTCTTCAAACCCTAATTTTCAGCTTCGAATCTCTGCTTTCTTCTCCTGGATCTGAGTTGAAGAAATTACTCAACTTGTGTTCGACCCAAGATTGAAGTGAGTTTCTGCTTCCATTTCCATTTATTTTCTGGATTTCCTTTAGGACTTTCTGATCTGTTTCCATTTGGGGATTTTGACTCTAATTTATATGCTTCTTCTTTTTTTCTTTTAATTTACTTTCCTATTTTATGGTTTTCCCAAAGTTTAATGCGTAAAATCAGCGTGAAGTTAAATTAACAGTGTGATTAAAACTTTCCTTTTTTTTTTTCCTTATTAATTTCCGCGATTTGGGTTTGGAATTTTCTTAATTAATACTTTGCATTTCATTATTCTGCGGCGAATCAGTACTATATCATCACATGAAGCATTTGATTTTCTTCAATCCGTCAATCTCACCTTTTTTAATATAAATTTCACTTAATCTTTTTTTTTTTTTTTTAATTTTTTTTTTGTTAGAGTTGAAATTTTGTGCTTGGTATTTTATTTGAGCACAATTCATGTAAATGTTTGGTATTAATGCAAGTGTTGAACAATAATCAGGAACAGGAATTGTATGAACAATAATGTTGAATTAATAAAATGTTATCTTTTCAATCTTTTTAGATTTATGTCCATTTTCTTGATAATTTCCCCACTGTGACTTTGTCTAGAAGATGACTGTGAGAACACCTGGAACACCAGCTTCAAAGATAGATAGGACACCAGTATCAACCCCAGGAGGACCAAGAGCTAGGGAGGAGAAGATTGTGGTTACAGTAAGGTTAAGGCCTTTAAACAGAAGGGAGCAATTGGCTAAAGATCAGGTGGCATGGGATTGTATAGATGATCATACTATAGTGTTTAAACCACCGGCACATGAACGTGCTTCCCAACCAGCATCGTTTACTTTTGGTATCAAATGAAATTGCTCACCTTGCTTTATTTTTCCAATTCACTATAAGTTCAAAGTTCCTTTTATGTTTTTCTTTCTTTAATGTCACCACACTTTTTATTTTTTATTTTTTTTGTGAGATTGTGGTATTATATTTTATATATTTGTTAACATTGCTTTTCATTTTGCAGATAAGGTTTTTGGTCCTGCTTGTTTAACTGAGACTGTATATGAAGAAGGAATAAAGAATGTTGCATTATCTGCATTGATGGGCATTAATGGTACTGGGATTGGATATTTGTATCATTATGTATTGACCTCTCTTTATGATTTGTGCCTCTGCTAGAGCCTCACTGCATTATATAATGATTGCATGCTTATTTTATTGCAGCAACTGTTTTTGCTTATGGGCAAACTAGCAGTGGAAAGACATACACAATGAGAGGAGTAACAGAGAAGGCTGTCAATGATATCTATAACCATATAATGAATGTAAGTTGTTCCAAAGATCCCAAAATGCAAAAAAGGACTAGATAGGATTTCGAAGGTTGTTAAATAACGACTAATCTCTTCAATTGGCATGATTTCAGAACCCTGAAAGAAATTTCACGATAAAAATTTCTGGACTCGAAATATACAATGAGAATGTCAGGGACTTGTTAAATTCAGAATCTGGTCGCAGTTTGAAGCTTCTAGATGACCCTGAGGTAACCGCTGAAAATCCTTTTCATTTTTTATTTAACGATCATGCAACTCAGAAGCTTCCTTGTCCTGAATTTGGAATTCATATTTTCATATCCTGCATCATCTTTGAAAATCTTTTTTTATCTTTTATTTGAGCTATCAATTCAGTAGTTTCCTGAATTTGGAATTTTATATTTTAATATCCTGCATGTAATGTAGAAAGGTACGGTGGTTGATAAATTATTGGAAGAAACAGCAAAAGATGACAAGCATTTGAGACATTTGATCTCCATTTGTGAAGGTAGGAAACTTTCTTGGCTTGCACTGACTTATACCTGCTTCCTTATTCAAACAATTTAATAACTTTCTTTTGTTTGGCAGCTCAAAGGCAGGTTGGCGAAACTGCTCTAAATGATAACAGCTCGCGGTCACACCAGATAATAAGACTGGTCAGTGATATACAATTATTTGCTCTAACTCGCAGGAGATGATTCTCTTTTCCTTTTTCCCTATTCATAAGTAATATGATATGGAAACATTTTTTGCCCTTTTGGTGTATATTGCAGACAATTCAAAGTACTCTTCGTGAAAATGCAGATTGTGTGAAATCTTTTGTTGCAACCCTGGTAATTGAAGTTTCCCCCTTATCTAATTTTAAATAGGTAGAGTAATTCTTATGTCTAACTAATGTCAATGACTGCAGAACTTTGTTGATCTGGCTGGAAGTGAGAGGGCTGCACAGACACATGCAGATGGCACTAGGCTCAAAGAAGGCTGCCATATTAATCTTAGCCTGATGACTCTGACAACCGTAATCAGGAAGCTCAGGTAAGAATCGATGTTGTTTACAGAAAGTTGATTAGGTCGTCTTAATGACAGATATCACCTTGGAGTGCCATTAGAACTGAGTCTCAACTTCAGATTTCACCTTCTTCTGATCGATTATTTTCATATCATCAAATGCAGTGTTGGAAAAAGAAGTGGTCATATCCCTTACAGAGATTCAAAGCTCACACGTATATTGCAACACTCCCTTGGTGGGAATGCACGCACTGCTATCGTTTGTACTTTGAGTCCAGCACTAAGCCATGTAGAGCAATCGCGAAACACTCTCTTCTTTGCTACCCGGGCAAAGGAAGTAACAAACAATGCTCAAGTTAACATGGTAACTACTGGTTCAAAGTCACCTTGATGATATTTTTTTTTTTTTTCAAATCAGCAGAACAAAATTTGACATCTTTCTTTTCAAATGCTCTGCATAGGTTGTTCCAGACAAGCAGCTTGTCAAACATTTGCAAAAGGAAGTAGCAAGGTTGGAGGCAGAGTTGCGCACTCCTGATCCAGCTAAAGAGAAGGATTGGAAAATTCAACAGGTAAATTGAAAAAAAAAAAAAAAAAACTGATTATTAGGAACAAGTGTGATATCATAGTACTCAATAATGTTTCCAATTATGTCCAGATGGAAATGGAAATTGAAGAGCTGAAACACCAGAGAGATCTTGCACAAACTCAGGTGGATGAGTTACGCAGAAAGCTTAAGAATGACCAGCAGGTCTCTCTCCTCTCTCTCTCTCTCATGATTCATTTCTGTAAAGAATCAATTCAACCAAAAGGTTAAGCTGGTGGGTGAGGGGCTTTTTAATGGTTTATAATATTCTCTGACAATTTCAATTGACTTTAAGATCTTTTTGCACTTCAGGTCTCAAACCCAATTGAATCACCACAACTATCAGTCAAGAAGTGCCTATCATTCACTGGTGCACTATCATCGCCAAAACCAGAGATAGGCTGTGAGAGAGTAAGAAGCACAACATTAAGACAGTCCATGAGGCAATCGTCTACTGCTCCTTTTACCCTTATGCATGAAATTCGCAAACTTGAGCACCTCCAGGAGCAGCTGGGTGAAGAAGCTAATCGAGCTTTGGTAGTATTACAAAAGGAAGTGGCATGTCATAGATTAGGTAACCAAGATGCAGCTGAGACAATTGCAAAGCTGCAAGCAGAAATAAGGGAAATGCGTGCGGTTAGGTCAGCACCCAAGGAAGTTGAAGTTGTTGGAAGCATGGTTTCTATCAACAAGAGTGTCAATGCTAATCTCAAAGAAGAGATTACCCGACTTCATTCACAAGGCAGCACCATTGCAAATCTTGAACAGCAGCTTGAAAATGTTCAAAGGTCCATAGACAAGTTGGTGATGTCTCTCCCGAACAATTTTCAACATGTAACCAGTGAAGCATCCCCTAAGAATAAAAAGGAACACAAAAGGAAGAAGCTGCTTCCTTTGTCTTCAAGTAATGGTACCAATCGCCAAAACTTCATAAGATATCCCTGCTCACCATTATCAACTACTCAGCAAGTTTTGGAATCCAATATTGAAAATAAAGCTCCTGAGAATGATGATACTGTTTCAATTGAGACTCTGCCAGAGTCTGAGAAGGGGACTCCATCGAAGAATGAAGAAGTTGGAGATGTTTCATCGAAGGAAAATACTTCAGGTTATCGACGCTCTAGTTCAGTCAACATGAAGAAAATGCAGAAAATGTTTCAGAATGCAGCAGAGGAGAATGTAAGAAGTATAAGAGCTTATGTCACAGAATTGAAAGAACGAGTGGCGAAACTACAGTACCAGAAGCAGTTACTTGTTTGCCAGGTGTGTTATATATAAAAAATCTTCCCGCTTTCATTGCCATTGCAAATTCTCTATTTTCATGTATTTACTTACTTTTCACTCATGTCCTTTTTATTTGGATATCTAGGTGCTTGAACTTGAAGCAAATGAAGCAAGTGGCCACAACATAGAAAATGAAGAGTATACATGTGAGCCGGAGGAACCACAAGTTTCATGGCAAATAACATTTAGAGAGCAGCGGCAGCAGATCATTGAATTATGGGATGTATGTTGTGTCTCCATTATTCACAGGACCCAGTTTTATTTGTTATTCAAGGGAGACCCAGCTGATCAGATATACATGGAAGTTGAACTAAGGCGTTTAACATGGTTGCAACAACACCTAGCAGAACTTGGGAATGCAAGCCCAGCTCCTCATGTTGGAGATGAGCCTACTATCTCTCTGTCTTCAAGGTTCTCTCTCTCTATATATATAAAACCATTCTCTATTAAATCCCGACTAATGAGGATAGGGGTGAGGAAAATTCTTCTACACAGTTTTACTTTGTATATTTACAAAGAAATTGTTTCCCACTTCTTCATGCTCACCCTCTTCCTCTTCCTCTTCCTCTTATATATATATATATAAGAATCATGTTATACGACGTCCTACAACAAAAATAATATGTGCTACGGATAGTACATAGTTATATCGAGTATGGAAAAAAATATAATATTATAATTATGTACTATCCGTAGTATATAATTATTTTTTTTGCATGACATCCTGCGACAGAACATCCGACGGATCCATATATATATATATATATATATATATATATATAACACCCTTCACTCGGTGAATTTTGAATGTGAACTTTTTATTGATATTTATAATAATATGCAGTATGAGAGCTTTGAAACGAGAAAGAGAATTCCTTGCTAAGAGATTGACATCACGTTTGACGCCAGAGGAGAGGGAGGCGTTATATATCAAATGGGATGTCCCCCTTGAAGGGAAGCAGAGGAAGATGCAATTTGTCAGCAAGCTTTGGACAGATCCACATGATCAAATGCATGTGCAGGAGAGTGCTGAAATAGTTGCAAAGCTTGTGGGTTTCTGTACTGGAGGCAACATGTCAAAGGAGATGTTTGAGCTGAATTTTGTGCTTCCATCTGATAAGAGGCCATGGTTAATGGGCTGGAATCACATAACAAACCTTCTCAATCTGTAATAAATTTTATGTTTGTAACTGAAGTACCATTCAAATCTTGTACATGGAAATTAATTTTGGCGAAATGATTGTTTTCGACAATATATTTCTCCAATAAACTAATCCAATTCATGGGATTATCATCTATAGAAGAATTCTTTTTAACATGTAGTTCGCAGCCTTGGAGTGCGATTTGTGCTATATATGGAGTACTGATATACTCGGGGGTGACCATTTGGAAAGAGCTAAAATTTGATCGGATTCTTGGAGTACTGATATGGCTCTCAACTATCTCATTTTCATTGAGTTTTTAATTCTTATTCTATTTATTTTATCTTTCTATTTCTGTAGGGACAGGTTTTGTAATTTCTGTTATTTTCCTTTTCATTATCTTATTCTGTAGTTTTTTTTTTTTTTTTTATATTTTGAATAAAAATTATATCGAGAGTTGCGACTACTCTAAATCATTATTCGTTCTGCTCAGTCAATTTTGAATATGCTGGCATTAATAAGTACAAGTTTATGTTTATGACACCCGCACTCAAAAAGTTGAAATACATGGTTAGTTTGCCAGCTCAGATTTTGACCACACCTTGTTTACTTGCACATTCTGTGTAATATTGTTTATTTGATCTAAACTTGTGCTAATTGACGTGTTCCAAACTTTAATTCTTACAAAACTTAAAGGAGTTGTTTAGTGAAAAAGATAAAGAGGATATGATAAAATAGATTATGATACCCTGCTTTTTCTCTGGTATTTGAGGAGCTAGCATGATCTCCTTCTGTCTCATTTTATCTAGCTACAGTCTTGCTCTTATCGTATGAGAGCCTGCCCCCTCCACTAGTCAAGAAAACAAAAAAGCCATTAAGAAATTCAAGAAAGCAATCTGATTTACTAGAGTGAAAAACAAAAAATCTCGAAACAGAACAAATTCAAGAAAACAGTTGAGAAAACCTAAATGACTTAAGATAGAAGTCTAACACCCCGTTCTAGAACCAGTTTTGTTAACATTACGTATGGCATTAAGCGCAGTTACAATCACAACAATTGAATTATAATACGGATAAACTTTTTTCTTTTTATTAATAACCGTTTCTGATAAAAATCAATTCTGTAATAAAAATTCCAAAAACTGTAATCATAACTTAACCTACGAGTGGAACACTTAATGCGATTTTATTTAAACCATACGTTGGTACCCCAGTGTGCCAAGTAGTCTCCTTAGACCAACAAGGCTTAAGAACTCATTTTTATTGTTATTCAACACTAAACACCTCCACTTTTTATTTACTTAAGGAATTTTATACTACTTTTATGGTCCTCATCTCCCAATATGTTATAGATCTTTCCGTTAGCTACGCGTGGGTTCAAACCGCGCTCAATTCGAAACACCGTAGCTCAAGTTATAAATTTTCTAAGAAAATAGTGTTGAACCCACAAGGCCCGACGCGAATAGCGCCACGAGGCAGAGAATTTCTAGATTTTTGGCGCGAACAGCGCCACGGACAATGCCAAGAATACGTTTTTCACCTGTATGTGGGCGCGGTTAGCGCCACAGGTATGGAGATTGACACCAAAATAGGATAATTCAATCTACTTTGGTATTTTACCCACAATTTGAGTTATACTAATCTGATTGACGCATTCTTGGTCTCGTTGGATAGCTAAGAAAAAGATCTATAACTTCTATTAAGACACAAGGGTCCAAATCTATCATATAGGATATAAAAAATGGACAACAATACAGGATATTCTTATACTTACATTGATTCTCAACCCCAAAGGTTTTCTTTCACCTAATAGACATTATATAACCACTCCAATACATGATTCTTAGCTATTTCAAGACACATTTATCAAAATAGGCATCCATGCCCTTCCATCATATATACAATAAGTACAATATTACACATTATCCAAGTGTCTTTAATACATAATAATGGGACTTTGCTTCAAAACACTATGATCAAATCTTTGGCTCCCATCAACAAAAGAGACACCAAAGGTGGTGAGCATAGGCTAAGTCCACCAAAATAAAGCATGATGTACACATATCAAATAGCTTTCAAATGTGAATCCTATACATGGAAACTACTAAATGAAATGCATAACCAAAATAATGCAACATCCTTATGTATCAATCTAGTCCAAGTATGGTCACTTGCCACTAGAGGCTCCTGCAGCATCTGTACCTGAAAGGGGGTCCCACAACACGGGGTGAGATATATGAATATACCTCGGTAAAGCAGGGGTCCTTGGAGCATTTCTCTACCCCATAGTTTACTCACAATATAATAGCAATAATCAGTAAATAATGCAGTAAATACATATCCATGCAGTGTGTAAAAATATCTCTATGAGACATCTCTCGAGCTCTCATGTTGTCCTAAGGATACTTAGATGCAAAATAGTCCTACTGGCCAGCTAAACTACCAAGTATGAATTACGCATCGTCATGCAACATACAAAACATAGGGAAACACCATAAGACACCATCTTATGCCACACCCAGTGCATACATATACGTATAACAAAGCATTAAACTACTTTATTGCATTTATATACACTATTAACAACCACTACCCATTCCGGGCTTAGTGGAACAATAAAGGGATCAATTCCCAAGGTCCAAAGGCTTACCTCAATTGCTTCCAATCTCAACCTTTGTTTACCACCAATGAGCAATCAACCAAGCTTTACAACAATACCAACAATCTCACAAACAAACACCTACACAAGGTGTAATGCAATCAATCTATTGCATCCAAGAATATATCGATATTCCTCAACCAAACAATCAAATTCGCACCATAACTAAGGCATGAACTTACCACTCCCAATGAGCTAGTCAAGCTCCATGGCTTCCTCCAATAGTTGGTCACTCAAGGATGGTCCAATTGCCTCAATCCTAGCCATCACATGGACACAATCAATATCCAACCAAACCATTGTTTACAAATGCAAGAAAATTCACAACCAAGCATATATTCTTGCAATTTTCATAGTATAATCAAATGACTATCTAAGTTCATTTCTACCATTTATTCATTATTCCTAACAATATTTGTAAAGGGATTTAACTTCAATATAACTCAGACTCATAAAAATCACAAAATCACTATTCATCATCTTCAACCTCAAGCAATCTCCATGGAAACAAGGTTGGAAGAGTGGAAACTTACCACACAAGGTCACACAACCAATGAATGTTGACCTCCTAAGCTTCCCTTGAAGGAAATGCCTCTAAACTTCTCCAATCTTCAAGTTTTTCGCCCCCTAAACAAGCCAAGATCTCGACCCATAATGGTTCCCAACTAACAAGGAGTGGTGGGTTTTGAAGAGGAAGGAATTTAATGCAAGTTTGCCCTTGGAATGGATTGATTTGGGTAAGAGATGAGTGAGCTAGGGTTTCTTGGTTGAAAATGGATTCTCCTCTCCTCTCTCTAATTTGCATGAAGAAAAATGAAGGAGTGGTCTCGTGTTTCACAACTTAACATAGTTAAGTTATTTTCACGGGTAAAAGTTATCTATCTAGTTAACTCCGTTCTCTTTCAAATTTTACTCAAAAGTCTGAAATATTTTTCTAGGAATATTTCTAACTTTACTTTTATATTTTGGGTACTTTTGCCTACATCTATTTTTACCTTGTAATTTTCACTTAGTGCACTTTTTACCTCAAAAGTGCCCATAATTCATTTAATTAGATATTTTACCTAATTCAACTCATTAATACAAATTTAATCGTCTAATTATATGTAATTAATTAAATCTCATGGTAAAAGATATTACAAGAGGTGTCAAAACGAATTGACGTGACATGAATTTAACATAATATGAATACATTAACACGAACATAATATGAATAATAGACAAACTAGAGATCAAAATGGTAGTTGACAAAAAAATAGGTTAAAATTAAAAAAATTACAAATCAACATGAATTTGACATGTGGCACTACACAATTTTGGATATTTTTTTTCAACATGTATTTTTTTTCAACATGCAAATCAGATTGCTTTCTTGAATTTCTGGATTGCTTTTTCTTTTTTCTTAGCTAATGACACGGGTTCGTCGGTGGCAGAGGCTGGTAGGTGATGATGTGGTTTACTCTCACGTTGCCAGCCCAAGAAGAGGAAAGTGCTACAATCGGGAAAAAAAGGTGTGACTTTTACTCTCCTATCCTAATCTATCCCATTCAACCCTAACCCAAAGTCTGCTTCACGATAGCTTAAGAGACATGTTAGGTAACAATATCATATATGTTAGGTAACACGATATCATACAGCTAAAATAGAGTTGACTGAAACCAGAACCTCAAAACACTATTAACCACGTCAATTGGTCGGATAAATGTAAATTAGTGGGAGTCTTTGTGTGCTACACAACATAACTAATCAAATAACCACTCGTAGACATTAATTCCACGAGAGAGATAAATGCGCCAATTGTGTCAAAACGATTTTCATTACTTGGAAGAAATTACATTTCTCTCTGGAATATAAAAAGCTAGCTCAAAAGGTGAGAGTGATCTAAGACTTTATAAATTCCACATTAATTGCTCATTCAACCAACGTGGGATTCCAAGTCCCATATCTTGCAAATGGGTCGTGAGAGTATATCACATTTTTTTAAACTAGGAGAATACACCTCAGTGGGATGATAGGAGAACACTTTTGAACTATGCTTGAACAAAAAAGCAGTGGTTCTATTTATAGGAGAAGATTTAATGTGTAAACGCGTTGATCCATTTTTCTTCTTCCGTGTGCAATTTGATTGCACTTATTGTTTTTTGGCCACCCTCCAATGAACAATTTGAATGCAACCAAAACTCATCGTTCACAAAAAAGTGGCTTTCAACTGCATCTAGGCTTATGTCAAGGCGTGAATAGAATAAAGTGAACTAACTCACTAAACATTGGATAAGAGTAGTACATGGCAATCTATCCTATCATATCTTCTCTATTCTTTTCCTTTCCTCTAATTAAAGGTTGAAAAACCACTAATTTTTTTTCTCATTCT